TATATAAGCAATAAAATAAAAGTGATAATAAATTTATCATATGTAAATTTTAATGAATTTCTAAAAAACCAATTTTTTTTTCTCTCAATACATTCATTGGATGACCATCTTTATGCTCCATTATCTAAATGAACTTAGAAATACAGTTTTATTATCATTCTGTATGACTTTTTTCAATAAAACAAGAGGAAACCAGAAACATATTAAGATAAATAAATAAATAACATAACATAACGTACCGATCATATGCATATTTGATGAAGATAATAATGTGTTATATGCTTCATGCAACAAAGAAGCAGCAATAACTCATCTATCTACCATCTCTCTCTCTGTTTAATCACATATTTTGACTTGTTAATGCTTCATCAACTTAGAGTCTGGCCCAGCTTTCATTATATTATTTTCTATTAAATACACAATAATTATATTATTTATATATAATAATAATAATATAGCTAATTATTTTATTGTTCAGTAGGCTGAGTTAAGTCATCAAGTTGCATTTTTTTTATATAAATTAAGGCACAAACAATTATTAGACTTTATTTTTAATCATAAGCTAATAAATCATTCACCTTGAATAAAATAGAACATGTTATTTATTCGTCATAAAAACAGCAATATTAATTTAAAAAAACTCAGAATCATTATGACTGCTTGGTTTGGGAAGAATGAAAGCACTTGCCAAATGAAAACAAACTATAAAGAAGGTTTTTAAATGGTTATGAGGCTTGGGATGGGTTATGGGGGATCTCAGAGCCTACATTAAGAGAAATTTGCGTACGTAAGATGTATACAGCGCTGCGTACGTCAGGAGGTTACAATGAGGGTATTGGGAGGTTATATCTGTGTTATATCCCCTGTAACCTACCTGTAACTTCTAGTAAGTTCAGCGCTTCTGTGGGTTATAGGGAGGTTACAGAGGTATAACGCGGATATAACCCTCAAATATCCTCCCTGTAACCTACTAATGTACGTACGCAAATTTTTTCCCTGCATTAATGTATATAAATAATAAAGAGAGTTTTGTACGTTAATTATACATACTTTTTATGAGTCACTTCCAACTATGGCTGTGAAAAATAAGGAGACAATGAAGAATAAGGAGACTACCACAAATTTTGTAAATCAATGTGATGGTTAAGCTAAGAAAAGAGTATGATAACGTAAATCAAAAATAGATTGATAAAACACAATTAAAATTTTTTCCACATATGGCAGAAAGCCAATCAAAGATTAATAAAAATCAATAACATTAACTCGAGAGTAGTATAAAAAAAAAAGGATGAAATAGGAGAAATTTTACATTCTAACACTGCACTTCCGGACGGTCAACCGCCAAGTGCCACGTCGCCATACACATTTTGAATGACATAGAGTGCTCTATGGACAATATGAATTTCTTGGAACATAATTGAACGCAATGGGTTGGCTAATTCAAATAATATTTTAATCATTTTAAGTATATCCCATTTTTTGCATCCTCCAAAATCCAACCAAGCTAATTTTATGAAATTCCATATTTTGTAACTAAGCAATTGATATATAATAATATACATAATTTATTAATATATTTTGAGTTTTAAAAGTTTAAAATAATCTATTAATTAAACTCAATTAAGTAGTTTCTAATCTCAGTCCCTGTTAATTACACTGCACTGTAGCATTCCATTTTGAATGACATGCAATGGAGGGATGGGTTGCTGGATGGCTGAGATTAAGTAGTTATATTTATTTCAATATACATGATATTAGTGGCAGTCTCTTATTCAAATTGGAAATTGCATTCATGAAAGCTTTATGCCTGCGAATCATAGAAGGAAAAAGGGGAAAAGAGGAAGAGAAGAGAGGGAAGAAGAGGTAATAAGATGCTATAAACATACCAACACTATGTCCTAATTATTTCTTTGATTTTCTTATCATTTTTTTCTGCCATGGACAATGTGACATGCAAGAGGACCTTCATTTGGGGAGATGGCTAAACATTAGAGAAGAATTGGGGAAGGTTTGGGAGTAGGAGGTATGCATTTATTTATATGGTACATGTTATTAAAAAATTCTAATCAATTTAATGAATTTACTTCAGTTTTCTATGAATTTAATTGGCTGTTTTGATTTAGTTAAGGGCTGGTTTCAATTGTTGGCTAAGTTGGGG